TATCTCTAGAATTGAAAGAAATATTTAAATTTAAAGGATTTTATTTTTTTGTTGCATTATTTATGATTGCCACTGTATTTATTTTATCATTACGCTATTACCAATGTATAAAAGTAAAGTTAAATATTAAATTGCTAAAATTTTACTAATTCAATAATCATCTTTTAAAAAAAAGAGAATTAATTTATGTTATTATTAATATTTGTTATATATATTTTTTATAATTACGATAAAAGCTTTGTCTGATCTTTAACATAATATGTATCATAAATTTTATCACGGTCTATTGCTAATACGGTGAACTGATGATAAAAATCTCTTATATTATCAATGCTAAATATTATTATGTAATCCCACGCGAATTCACAAAAGCTTCAAATATAGCGATAGTGGAATACAATTTCAAAAAATTGTGATGTGTCGTATAACGTTTACAAAAAATATCAAAGGTATTGCTGGTGTTGAATTGTTGACCATCTAATAATAAATATTTATATATATTTATTAATTAAATTTTTTTATGCGTAAAATAATCATTGAGCAATAAATTAATTGTATCATATACTTATCATTCTTGTCTTAAAGGAGACACGATCCCTAAATGCCTCTCGCATCTTCTATTTTTAATTACCATTCTTATCTGTAAGATCCGTAAGAATAAGTGACTATATAAGTAAAGCGATATCGATATAATGAACTAATTTTTAGTTAGTTTTTCGATTTAACCTAAAAAATTAACGTTAAAATATTAATTATTTGATATATATCGTTATAAAAAGAATGAAAAGTTTTTTGAGGGTCCATCTCTTGAAACTTCAATGAAAACCTAAGAGATATAAATTTTCACTAATGCTAATGAAATAAACAAACCTGCTATATTATAATTTAATATAAATTTCTATTCTTTTTAAGATAATAATATCATTTTATTTTACATTTTTTTAACAATATAGAGACGTAAAATTTACTAATTGTAAAGGATCTTTAAACTTTATTTTTTTTGAAAATATATACATATTAAGCTATATAATATAAACTTTCAAAATAAATTACATATATTATAATATAAACGAATAATTAAAAAAGAGTTTTATTATTTATAATAAATTGCGTGTCTCATTTTTCGTCGTTGATTCTTGACATAAATTCAAATGAACTTAATTAATAATCCTGTGACCGTTAATAAAAATTTCTCCGAAAATCAATTAAGGAAATCCTACACGTGATTGGCAAATCAGTATTTGGTAATTACCATAACGGTAATCTCCCTCGTAACAAACTTTTCAAACTTTTAAAATTTCGTCGTTTAAACATTTTGTAGATTGGTTGATTTATTGGTTTTGCGATTATCATGTCTAACGTCGATATCCAGCCCCAAACTTCGCAAAAGTATTAAAAGTATTGAACTTGACCTTCCTTGTGGTATTAAGTTGACCTCTTGCCGATAACTATATAAATAACAATTGTTTTTACAATAAAATCGGCAAGAGGGTCAAGACAGGACCACGAGAAGGGTCAAGTTCGATACTTTTGCCCCAAGTTCAATAGTAACAATATGGGTTTTACTTGAGGGAAAAGAAAGCGTCGTAAAGTTGAAAAGCAACGTATCAGATTTAGACGACCTTGAGCCCGTTCTCAAAGAGGAATTCAATGAACTTTGAGAAGTCGAACCAAACGACATTCAATTTTTTTCTTTCGATGAATATAATACACTCACGCCTCTTCGTAGTGGGACAATACTTACAAACTTGGTCACAACGGATATATGCCCGCTTGTTGTGAGGTACCCCTTTTCAGATGCCACAAGTAAGTACATGTATTATAGTCGCTTTACTTTCATACATAACCTCATTAGCTTCTTGTCTGCAGTTAAAGTAAAGTATAGGTTTTTACGAAACCCGGAAGTTTATGAGATGCCACATTCTAGTGGCTCTTGGGTTTTGCTTCGGGATGCCATTCTTAAAAGCTTCTACAGGTTACAAACCTGTGATTTTTATTTTGTTTCTAAAATCAACTCGGAGGAATAATGTTTCGGGCTAAACTCAAATTTGGAATATTTTGAGTTTTGGGCAGTTTAGGACAAATGGCGTAACTTAAAGGCGAAATGTAGAGGGACTTATCTCACAGGCGAAATTTGTAATTTATTTGTTAAGTTTAGCCACACTTATTTATATAAAAATAAATCAAATTTATTTAGTAAAGTTAAAAGTTAAAAAAGTTTGGGCCAGAACTCAGGGGTTTAGCCCGAAACATTACGGAGGAGAACAATTTCCAGTTCAATGGCTTGATAATTGATTCAATTGATCGAGACGAACGTTTTCTTGGTCTTGAAATACAAATAAAGGGTAAAAAAGCATATGGAGATTGGACCTTCGAGGAGGTTTCTAGGGAAATATATAATAATGCGTTCGATTCTGTCGAATAAATGCCCAAATTCGAAATAGAAGAAATTTTTCAAAATAAACCTTTTGATGATTTAAAACGTTTTGAAGATAACCTTCGGAGAAGATGGACGTTTTTCACGAAGTTACGATAAATGAGGCAACGGCACGAGAATTCATTTCGGTTTTCCTTTGTTTGCGGTTGATCACGTACGCAAGTGCAATGACAAATCAACTCGATTAGAATTAGAGATTGAGCTCGATGGAAGCCGTGGGTACGGTGTTTTAAATTATTGTATCTATATACAAAGAATCCCTGTCTTGTTGACAGTAACCTATGAAAGTGAAAGGGTGTTGCACAAACTCTGGTACAAATTCACAGTGCTGCAGAATCATTGTTGGGCAAGCGAAAACGATCCGAAGCAGATCCTGAACAAATTATGTTTGGTATCGTGACAACAGGTCGTTCTTGGCGTTTCATCCGATGAAATGGGATATTAAAATCTCCAAAAGTAGAGATAACTCGAGAAATCATTTGTGATTTTGAAAATGGTATGAAAAAAGAAAAAAATGTGGTCTCCTACATTGTCTACAAGCCCAAGTTAAATCATTGAACAAGGGGGAACCATATGCAAAACGATTTTGCACCGAAAATAAGTTATGATTGGTTGGTTTATTATTTTTTTATACGTAGAATCAATAAAAGATTGGCAAAATGGCATGATTTTAGGTATTTTTTTTTTAATCTTTATTTTTCTATGGAAAGTAATATGTACTAAATATTAGCATATGACTAATAAAAAAGTCGAAAAACGTTGATAAATTTTGTTGTGTGGTGTTGAGTATTTGGGGTGATAAACTACTAATCTTTACAAAGTAAAGCTCGAGATACAGGTATATCTTGCAGGGTTGATGTAGATCCTGAATTCATAACTAATCGTTGTGGGGACTAAGTATAAGGGTTGGACTCGTTGATTTTATTGTAATTACATAATAATGTCTTTTTCTAGTTATTTCTTTACAGGTTTCGCCGTGAGTCACCTTATGTGATCTCAAAAGTTCTGAATTCGATTCTTAAGCTATATCAAAATAAGTTGGGTGAGATTAGTGATTTAATTTTTATCCGCTCAAGTAAAACGGTTCAAGCGAACGAAAAGTAGTCACGATCATAACCAACAAATGCACATTTATCGGATAAATACTTCACGAATTTTACCTCATCATCATATCGTAGTTAATATATTCCTTTCTCGAAACTTCCAAAATATAGTAGTGCTGTGAGATTCATTTGTTGCCAATCTGATGATCGAATTTGCCTCAGTTGCAATTGATGATTAATTGCGAAATTAATCTAACTAAAAGATAAGTACAGGGGTTGATCAAGAATAAGTATTTCGGCAACTCATGCTAATTATTCTAATTATAGGAATATCAAATGAACGTAATTCCATAATGCCTATGGACGATTAAATGGAGCTTGTAAGTTAGCCACGGAGTGGTCTTGCTCTGCAAGTGTGGTAAGTAAATTTAGTTGTTATTCGATGATCACTTCGTTTTCATACATAAATGCTAATCGAACTTTCTTTCAGTGGATTTCACTTCGATCATCACTGAAGCAGAAAAGACTTTCTCAGGTTGATGAGCTGGTATATAAAGGACCCCGTCGTCAATATGAAGGGAAATAATTTAATGCAAGATAATAAATAATTTACTTCAGTTGTTATAATGTAAAAAAAAATATATATATATATTGTATCGCTAGAAATTAGTTAATACATGTATAACACAGATATAATAAATTCATTGATATAAGCATATAAAATTTTCCTCAATGCATCAGTATCAGTATATATAACGCGTAATTATCGTTCAGCCAAATAGGATCATGATGGACCGATAAATTTATTAGACGTAACAATATCATAACGATAAGAAATTAATACAGTAATATACTTTACATATTACTGTACATTCAATATATTGATTAATTACATTAAATCTCATCAATTATTAATTACCCGCGAAATTAATTTTAATGTTAAAATTAGTCAATCCATATGAAAGTTGTTTCGGGTTCATAGAAATTTCTAACGAATTATTGCTTAAATTTTGAAAAGTTGATGATATAAAGAAGGTTCTGGATTCAATCAAAGGAGACTTAGAAGAAGCCTGCGTTGCTAATGTATTTACAAAAGAAGAAAAATTACTAATTTAAATTATGCTAAATATTTAATATACCTTCTTTAACAGTTGTGAAACCATCATAAGGTTCTTCTTTTTTTTTTTTTTATATTTTTAATACTAGCAATGTTAGTTCCTAAAAAATTAAAAATTGTCAGAAATTTTATAAGCAAAGTTTATATAAAAATAAAATTATACACAGCAATTTATCATTTACTTATCATCTTTGTTTGCTTCTTATCTGTTAGCAATTCATATGAATTCAATTGTAATTATAACATACTTGTTTTCATGAAATTCCTGCAGGTTGCAATCCTTAAATCATAATTTTTTTAGCCTTTATGATTAGTTATTTTACAATTTGTAATATTTTACATATAAATCCTTTTAAATGTGATATACTTATATGAAAACTTTTAAATCAATTACAGTTTACAATACTGTAAAAATAATTTAATTTAATATTAAAAAAAACAAAGATAAATTACCTTTTTTCATGTTTTTATAAATAAAATTATTATTTAGTTGAAACAGATTTTTTGCAAAATATGATTCAAAATCACTAATTATTTCTACTTGATTAATATTTTACTTTTTTACAATCATTTAATAATCCTCATTAATTTGTTTTAAATGATAAAATATAAATATCAAAACTTCTATTCTTGTTTTTTTAATTCTTTGCATTAATTAATAATATTTACCTACTTTTAATTAAAGAATCATTATATTATAAAAATATTAATCTTAATAATCTTTCAGATATTAACATATCTATAAATTTATATAATAGTATTTGTTGTATTTCTATAAAATTTAATCTAATAGAACTAAGGTTATTAAGAAAAACTTAGAGATTTTACAAGTTGTCTTAATAGCAAAAGGTAAAATTTATTAAAATTATATTAAAAACTTATTAAAAAATCTACGATACTCAGTAAAAAGTAAAACTATATTAAAGTTTATAAAAATGTGAAATTATATTAAAACTTTAGTAAAATTAACAAAATTAAAGTTTAGATATTTTGTTAAATTCAAAATGGATTTAGACAATTAATCTTAATTAAACTTTTAACTTCTTCATATTTAAAATCATTTAAATATTTAATCTTTTTATTTGTGATTTTAAATAGTATTGGTTAAAATAGTTCAAATCAGCTAAAAATTAAATGGCTAATTTTAAGTTTAATATTATTTATAATTGATTTGCTATATTTTTACAAATATATACTAATTAATACTAAATAAATATAGCTATTTAGCATTAATTTAAAACTTAAATTAAATCATATATTAATATAAAATTAACCTTAATTTAACATTAACAGAACTTAAAATCAATCATAAAGTATTCTAAAATTGACTTTAATTCAGCATTAATTCAGTCAAATAAGCATATAAAATCAGTATATTTTATTTATTAAATTTATTAAATATTAAAATTTTATTAATAATAAAAAATCTAATATAAATTTGCAAATTATAACAAAAAATATTAAAATCCACTGAATAATTTTCTATTAAAAAATATAAGTAAAAAAATAGAAAAACTATATAAAATAATAATATAATAATAAAAAATTTATTTTCTCCTAAAATCCCTTAAAATCATTCTAAATATTTATTACTATAATATTACTATTATTGAAAAAAAAAAATAATAAAAATATGATTTATTTTTCTTTTAAAATTCCTTTAAAATTGACTAAAAAATATTAAAAATAACAAATAAAATAATAAAAAAATTTACTTTTTCACTTGAAATTTATCTTTTTTTTATTATAGAAAGTAAAAAAAATCAGTTTATTATTTGAAAAATTGATTGATTAATTTATAAAATTTATTTAAATTTAAACCTTTATTTTATTTGATTATAATAGTTAGAGGTAATTTTGTAATTTATTTTTATTATAAAATTAAAAAAATAGTTTATTATTTAAAAAATTGACTAAATTCAATTTAAGTTTGAGTTTATTCTTTATTTGATTTTAATAATAAAGATGATTTTATAGTTTTATTTTTATTATAGAAGTAAAAAATCATTATTTTTAAAATGATTTTGTTATAGATTTTAGTAACATATAAAATAAAGAAAATTTAAAAAGGGTAAACTTTGATTGTAAAAAGATAAAGATTAAGTTAAAATTATTTTTTAAAATGTAAAATATTAAGCTTATTTATATAAAATATTTTTATATATGTTAGAAATAAATTCAAATAATACATTAAATTAATAAAAAATTTAAAGTAAATTAAAAATAATTTATTATAACAATATCAATAAAATCATTCTTATAATTTGATAAGTTCTCTAAATATTTGATATTATTTTAGCAAAGAAATGTTAAATTATGAGAAAATTTTGGTTTAATTTGAAAGTTCAATTTATTTTAAAAGAATGATATATGATATAAAAATTATTTATTTAAAATAATAAAATATTGTTCCAAAAAAATGATATAAAAATCATTCATTTAGAATGATAATATATTATTCTAAATAAAAAATAAAAATTGTTTATTTTAAACATTAATACATCATTTCAAATAAATAATATAAAAATTATTTTAGTCAAATAATTTAATTATCATTTAATTTGAAATAATAAAAAATACATAATTATATAACATTTTATTTAAATATACAGTATATATTAGTATTAGCATATAATATTATATGATTTATATGATTTATATGAATTGTTATTTATTATTTATTATTTATAAAAGATTTATACCTTATAACTTTATTATATAGTTTTTACCAATCAAAAAAAGTATAGTATAATATAATAAAACAAAAAAAAAGTTAAGAAAAAGGTTTGAGAAAACTTCTCTTCAGAAAATTTTTTTACTATATATAAAAAAAACTTATATTGATTATTATAGTATATATTATATTTTATAATATAATTAAAATTTATATTGATTATTATCTACTTTATATGATTATATAAAATTTAAAATTTGTATAAAATTAGCCTTTAAATTCTATAAAAAAGATGAATTAATTATTAGTTTTTATTTTATATAAATAAAAAGATTTTAACTGATGCTTTTATTTTTCTTCTATAGAAATTTAGCTTTCATTTTAAGCCTTAAAAGTTTTTTAAATTATAATAAAAAAGTAAATAGAGGATTATTTTTTTAAAAAAAAAATAAATAAATATTAACTAATATTTCCTTTATCCCTTAAACTGTAAAGATTCGTAGGCAAATTTGCCTACTTATTTACTATAAATTCTTTTCTGATTTACTTTTATGAAAAATTAAAATATTTAAAAATTTTTTTTTTTAAATTAATTTTA